CCCCCCCCCCCCCCCCCCCTCCCCCCCCCCCCCCCCCCCCCCCCCCCCCTCCCTCTCTCTCTCTCCCTCCCTGCCTCTCTCTCTCTCCCTCCCTGCCCCCCCCTCTCTCCCATCACTGTGAGAATGAGAATGGCCCTCCACCCCTCCACACATGACAGACTACAGACCACTACACACATTCATGAAGACACAGAAACAGAGCTAAGAATGAGGCAGTGGGAGAACAGAACCAAAAACCTGTTTGTCAATTATTTTAAGTGAATATATATATATATATATACACACACACACACACACACACACAGAGTATACAGTATACTGTATGGGATCAATAAGCCTCTATAAATCACCAGACCTGCAGCAGAGATTATCAAAAAGCTACAGAACATCTGCTTTAATATTTGATCAGGTCTAGAGCAGCAACTATGGCTCACGGGCGAGCTGGGGCCACATGTTGAGCACACTGTCCGTTCTTACTGTCAAACACACACAGAGAGATGGGGGGGGGTTAGGGTTCATAAGACCAGGTTCAGCCTTGGTTCAGGTTTGGTCTCAGTACAGATGGGATGATCAGTCCCAGATCCACAAGGTGTGTTTAGAAACGTAACAAATATATGACAAATATGTTGTGGACAATGTCAACAACTGGTCCCAATCTGGTCCACACATACAGGGAGAACCTGCTTACACCACAGAGGAACACCACAGAGGAACACCAGAGAGGAACTCCACAGAGGAACTCCAGAGAGGAACACCACAGAGGAACACCAGAGAGGAACTCCACAGAGGAACTCCAGAGAGGAACACCACAGAGGAACTCCACAGAGGAACACCACAGAGGAACACCAGAGAGGAACACCACAGAGGAACACCAGAGAGGAACACCACAGAGGAACACCAGAGAGGAACTCCACAGAGGAACACCACAGAGGAACACCAGAGAGGAACACCACAGAGGAACACCTCAGAGGAACACCACAGAGGAACACCAGAGAGGAACACCACAGAGGAACACCAGAGAGGAACTCCACAGAGGAACTCCAGAGAGGAACACCACAGAGGAACACCAGAGAGGAACACCACAGAGGAACTCCACAGAGGAACTCCAGAGAGGAACACCACAGAGGAACACCAGAGAGGAACTCCACAGAGGAACTCCGTCAGTTCCCACCCGGCCTCAGACTGGTAACATTCCGTCTGTGAGGTAGGTACAGAGACCACCGTTCCAATTATAACTCCCATTTGGGACACGGAGACTGACCTCAAGTGGAACCCCAACTAACCTTTACCCCGACCTCCACCACTGACCCACAAATCCACCGTATCTGCCCGTACGGTATGTGAGGTTGATTATTGGTGGTTTAACCTGGCACATCCACTGAGCCACAGCCCGAGTCTCTTATCACTCAAACACAGCCACCCAGCCGGCGTCCAGGCTGAAGACGTCCACCCTGTTGGTACGAGACACACATCAGCGCTCCACACGCTCAAACACATAATTACATTTCCCCATGAGCATTTCGTCACACACACCCAATTTCTCATTGGCCTTGTTAACTTGTCAGCGATGTAGCGCCACCCACTGGAATTATGTGGCTGCATTTCACAGAGGGGACAACATTAGGAAGAAAAAAGACAATTTGTCAATTTGTCCTTGTGTGACATTTTGCTAATTGAGACTGTAACGCTGTGTTGACGGGGACGGATGAAGACGGGGACGGATGAAGACGGGGACAGATGAAGACGGGGACAGATGAAGACGGGGGATGAAGACGGGGACACAGATGAAGACGGGGACAGATGAAGACGGGGACGGATGAAGACGGGGACAGATGAAGACGGACACGCTGCATGTAGACTTTCACCTGACAGTGCTCGTCACTGATTAGCTGCGTACATGAAGCTCCATCTCTGCTCTTCTTTTCCCACAGCTCTGCCTCTCTACACGTGAGTCTCCCTCCCTCCCTCCCTGCCTCCCTCTCTCCCACCTCCCCCCC